GTTCCGGTTCTGTAGAGGTGGAGCTCGATGGCATGAGGAGCTACAACAAAGGCAGTGAGCGAACGCAGTGATGGTGATCCCAATTCCCATATGTACCTTAACCATGTCGTGGATCTCCATTTATACTGTATGTAAGATAGACCCACAAGATGACAAAATCTTTGGCGCTCATCACGCCGTGTGTGGGTTTTTCACCTGCCAGTGCTCAATAGAGCATATTCGCAACGCCCAAAAGTTCTGAGGCATCACTCCCAACTTTAAGCGACTCCACTTGACAGATGTGACTTTGGTGCTCTCGCCTTCACTTTCCGCAACGCCTGCGACAAAATTTCCACTGGAAAAATTCGAGTAAACAATAGGCAAAGCAACGGTGGTCCAGGAATTTACTCGGGCTGAACTGACCAAAAACTGCGCCTTTACTTCGCTTTTTTGAGTGTCACTTATTCCCTTTTGGGAGCCCCGCTTTTCCTGCATCAAGCATCACTTTTTAGATCAAAAGGCGATTTTGGAGGGTGCGAATATGCTCTAATCTCCACTTAGTAGCCACCGTCGTTCTGATATTGGAAAAGCCAATATGTACTATGTAATAGGAGCCGGTCGTACTCGACTCAAATCTACCTGATTCGGCATTAATTCGGCCTAATTCGGCACTGATTCCCAATCCATTCGGACATTAGAGCATATTCGCACCAAATTCGCACCGCCCAAAAGTTTTCAGATATCTGCCATCACTTTTAAGCGAGAACCTTGATTGATGTGACCTCGATGACTGACTTGGCTGTCGCCTTCAACTTTGTGCAACGCCTGCGAGAAATTTTCCTCTGAAAAAAATTGGATTAAACAATAGGTAAGGCAACGGCGGTCCAGGAATGTCCTCGGGCTGAAATGACCAAAAACTGCGTCTTTACTTCGCTTTTTGAGTGTCACTTATTCCCTTTTTGGGGCCCCACTTTTCTGGCATCAAGCATCACTTTTTAGATCAAAAGGCGATTTTGGGCGGCGAATATGCTCTATTATTGCCAATTGGGTCGCTGGCTGTCGCCGACACGAAGTTGTCTCACCGGGCGCCGGATGGAGTGTAACAGAGTGTAACCTCGCAAACCATGTGAGGCCGAAACATGACATGAAGAAGCGAAGCTCGCGAGCGAGGCATTTGGAACCAAGATGGCAGCTGATTGCAGCCACGGGGGTCCGAATTTCGAAAGTGCGAAAGTTCCAGAATCCATACTACAACCATACTACTTTGATACTACTTATTGACTCCTGAAGCTGAAGATGTTGGTCCATGTCGAGCTCATTCTGCATCTCGACCGTGTGGAATGTGATCTAGTATCCGGGGTGTTACCCAATCAGGTTTTCCCCATCAATTCCTGAGGTTTTCACGTATCTCTCGATGCTGTATACTTTTGGGTGGTAGTTGAATAGTAGTTGAGTGGCAAAGATGTTCTCCTGAGTTGTTATATCAATTATATAATTCTTTTGGCCCATTTGAGCATTCGTTCGAACACTCAACGAACACTATCCATTAAGCTGCGCTGTGCCGGGGATGATGACCAATGATCCGAGGCACAATAAGCCTATACAACGCGTACGCGCTTCATTTTTTTTCTTCTCGCCAGCGTTGCATCACTCTGGAATGACGGACTTCGACTTCCAATTGTCGCTTTCGACCCCTCCTGTCTAGTTGGATGACACTGATATGACCAACCGACGTCTGAGCGTGAGCAAAAACCTCTAAAAATAAAAAGGTATGATGCAGCTGCCGGAGGAGGGAAGGCAAAGAAGAAGATGGAGAGGAAGTTCATGCGAAGCTCGGTGCTTGTTCAAACTAACGAAACGACGATGACGAGGGGACAAGCAACGGAGCGGCGACGAGGGCAACAAATACGCGAGGACGAGGCGAGACTCAACGGCAACCACGAGGGCCGAGAGCGACGGCGACGGAGAGCGAGAGGCAAAGCGGGAAAACTATTATCTTCTGTCCTGTAGGTACAGTACAATTTATATACTGAGATATGTTGAAAAAATGGGGAATTTGGAAACAAATGAATAAGAAAGGGGAAAATGGGTAATATAAAAGGTCAAGGCGGAGCGCCGGGGCGAGGGGATGTGTCGGGACGTGGGAATACAGCTAGAATGGCAACAGGAATGTGCGGAATTAAATGAATGGGGAATATATCCAAATTAGGTGGTGAGGACGTAGTGTGATCGGAATTGGGCATATTACGTGCGTAGCGGTGAGCGGTGCTCATCAACACTCCCCCTTCCATCCCTCCTCCGCATCTGCCTGGAACAATTGCCACCCTTTCCCATTTATTGGCTAGAAGCGCAAATAATGCCGACTGGGTAATGTGCGATTTCATCTACATACGCGGGCTTACTTATTCTCCGTCCTTTGACTCTCGATATATTCGCTTTCCTTCTCTCCTGTGGAAAAAACAAAGTTGAATTTGCCCATACATGCCCTCCCCGAATGCCCTTGGGGGGAGTCAAACCCCCACGTCCCATTCATGGCATGAGTTTTGGCTGCTACGGAAAATGGGTGATGTACAGTTTCATCCACGAGGGATCCTTCACCCACATTTCAACCTAAATATTCCCCCATTGATCCACAGCGCACTAATGTCCGAAGGCAGAACAAAAAAAGGTCGTCTTTTTTCCCCCACGCCCTCTGGGGGACTCGAACCACCACTTTCCCATTCATATTCCTCCGACGAAGGTCTATGCGCAATGAGTGGCGTATCTTTCCGTCCACGAAGGCTCTTTCACCATCTTTCGAACCCGAATATAGTCTCATCTTCGCAATTTTACTTGCAGCCAAAACAAAACAAAATCATCGCTTCGAATCGGACACCCTCGACGGCCAACATTCGCTCCCGCATATGACCTTGCGGCGGATGAAAACCATTGCACCTAACCTCGCTCCGAGAAGAAAAAAAGAAGATTGCAAGTTACCCGACATGCTCTCGGGGAGACTCGAACCCCCACTTCCCATTTATATTTGCACATAATTCATCCAAGTCATTGGGAATGGGTGATGTACCATCTCATCCCACGAGGGCTAGTATCCTACTTTCAAACCCGAATCTGGTCTCATCTCTTCACAATTTACTGTGGGGGAAAAACAAAACAAAATGCTACTCTGACCACATCCTCGACGGCCAACACTCCGCTCGTACGATGACCTTGGCGGCGGATGAGAATCGTTTACACCAAACACGCCAGAAAAAAGAAAGAAAGAACTGAATCAATGCCCTCGGGGGGACTCCAGCCCCGCTTTCCATTTGCCACTTAGCAAATAATAGTCACTGAGTACTGAGAATGAGTGTATGTACTAATTCATCCACGAGGGCTGATTATCAGGATCTCTAAACGCGGATAGAATCGCATCCATGCACAAATTTTATTTTATCGAGAAAAAAGCCATAAATTACTTGGGGTTGTGGGCCGTGGCGGTGCCCGGCAAAAACTCGTACTTAGTTTTAAGTACATTAAAATGAGCAACCTGAATCATATGAGCAATTGTACAGTATCTTTCAACTTCAGATAAGTGTTGCCGAAATTCCAAGCGGCTATTCCGTTGCGGATTAAATTCTGAGTGACTATTCAGCGCACTCACCCCATAGCTAAATAGGAGGTTGTATTGGACCTTATTAATCCAGCGTGCACAAAGGTGCCCAGGGATATAAGATCAGCCACCACGGACATTTTGATTTGAGTTAAGAGGAACTGGCAGGCTGGGAGCCACTACTTTGGACACAAAATTGTGGTCGAGTGGAACCTAGATTGGATTCAGCTTCCAGGCCCGAGAGGAAATTCTTGAGCAGCACCGACAGCGCCAGTTTAACAGCACATCTCTGATTACACATATTCATTCCTTAATACATCCTAGGTGGCAGCATTCTCTCAGCCCCTCGGTACAGCGCAATTAATCCAGCTCCACTTGGTCTTTTTGTGCCGCAAATTCAATGCGCAACAGCGGACCGCTAAAGTCAATGGCAACTACAGGTCTCTTTTTTGGAGTCGCCGCGTGCCGCTGACTTGATGCACCGCTTGAGCATAATGTCCCCAACAGAGATAGGCCGTATGTACTGCTTTCTGTAGCCGCATGCATCTAACAACATCGCAGCATCTCCGGCTGTAAGCGCTCACATTTCTTTTTTTACTACTTACGCAGCATACCAACTACCTTATCAGTGTGCGTTACGCGTTGCATGGGAGGCTGCGTGCCGCCATCACATTATGGGGATGACGTGTGTCGGGTTTGTGAGAGACGACAGGGAGATCAGGGGTTGGATAAAAAGATACAGCGGCGCTATGCGCCGCTACCACACTCTCTGGGACGCGTAGCCGAGGTCGCGGGGAGCGTGCAGACCTCGAAAAGACTCTTTGGTCCCTAGAATAAGAAGAAGTCTATACAACCCCAAAATAATCTTCTGCACTCATAGCCGAGGTCGCGGGGAGCGTGCAGACCTCAAAAAGACCCTTTAGTCCCTAGAATAAGAAGTCTATACAACCCCAAAAGAATAAATTTGCTGCACTTCGGCCACCATCCTGCTGGCAATATAGGTCCGGTCCGTATTATTGCGAGGCTCTGTAAACAATTTTATAGTCGCTGACAAAAAAAGTGGTGCATCACCATGCCTCGGGGGTAGTCGAACCCCCACTTCCCATTTGCACATGTGGTCTAAACGAGTGCCTAACTTGGAATGGGCGATGTACCTTTTCATCCACGAGAGCTGTTGGCTACACCTTTGATCCTTGATAAGAGCCCACATTTTCATCCTCCTTCACGGTAATAGGGAAAAAAAAACACCAAACAACGTAATGCGTTCGAACCCCCACCTCCCATTTCGACATAATTGGCACTGACTTTCGGACTACTGAATGGGTGATGTACCTTCATCCACAAGGGCCCTTTCCGTACATCTAAACCTGAGCGATACTCCCATGCGAAAAATAAAAAAAAAGAAGAAAAAAATAGATGATCTTGCCTGGCGTGCCCTCGGAGGGACTCGAACCCCCACCTCCCATAGACATTCACTACTAATAATACTGAATGGGTGATGTACCTTCATCCACGAGGGCTACTTTCCCTACATCTGAACCCGTGACGGATTTTTTTTTTTTGAAAAAAGACCCATCTTCTCACCTGACACGGGACTCGAACCCCACCTCCCAATGCCATTGCAATCCACTCAAACCTCGGAATACTAAACGGGTGATGTACCTTTTCATCCACGAGGGCTTACTTTCCCTACATTGAACCTTGATTACAGCTCACATTTTCTTTTCTTCAGTGGCAAAAACGGATGGGAACGCGACATGCCCTCGAGGGACTCGAACCGCCACTGCCCATCTGCATCGACTACTATAACCCGCTGGGAAGTGGGCCACCCCCAGGTAGTGGGCCATTGGCCAATAGTAGCCCTGTCAGTCGGTTTATGTCGCCCTTTGTATTTGGGGGATGGAATACGACCTCAGACCCTCGTTTGTGCAAAGTTTGATGGCGGCATGCCGTGCCGCTCGAAAGTTATGGCATGTTTGACAGCCGAATATTGCCGTGCAAACATCACCGCTTACCGGCACCAACGTCGTCTCATTCTCGACGAGTTCTTCACCGATACACGACCTTTGGGGCTCGTTATGTTCACATTGGGGTCGAATTCCTTAATATGTGCTTTCTTTGCCGATACAACTTGATTTGCTCAGCTTTCTTCTTAGCCAAGCGCACTTGGACTTTCTGGGTGCGTGGCATTGGCCGCTCTGCCGGGATCTCTGAATGCAGATAGCATCACATCCATGCACAATTCTTTATTTTATCGAGAAAAAAGACGTCTGATGATCCCCAATGCCCTGGGGGGACTCGAACCCCCGCCTCCATTTCAGCGGTCATTTATTGGCGGTGATGAATGCAGGATGGGTGATGTGCCATGTCACTACGAGGGCTGTTGTCCCTACATTTCAACCTAATATATTCGGATTTTTTCGCAATTTACCTGCAGGCAAACAAAATAAAATGCTGCTTCCGACCGGACACGGACCCCCGACGGTGAAATCCCGGTAGCTGCAGATGATGGGACATCCACTAACATTGCGGACGAGAACCGCTCCCTCAGACGGTCCAAAAAGAAGAAAAAAAGAAAAGCATGCCCCCGAGGGACTCGAACCTCCACTTCCCATTTACACATGCGTTCCAATTGCGTAACTTGGAATGGGTGATGTACCATTTCATCCACGAGAGCTGTTAGCTATACCTTTGGCTCTTGATAAGAGCTCACATTCTCTTCTCTTGAGTAGCAAAAACGCTTGAATTCCCCGGCATGCTCTCAGGGGGACTCGAACCCCCGCCTCCCATTGACATTGTCCACCACGTACATCGAATACTGAACAGGTGATGTACCTTCATCCACGAGGGCTCCTTCACCCTCCATTTGTCCCTTGATATGAGCCCACAGCTCACATTCTCTTCTCTCGAGTGGCAAAAATGCTTGGAAGCGCCGCAT